ATTCTTAAAAATTCCAACAGTATTGGTGAGACAACCACCTGTTATCTCTAAAACCATTAAAGTATACAATCCCATACCTAAACAGCGATTAGAGTTGATTAGATGGGCTTTTGCCACACTGTCTTTGGGTTGTGGCCCCCTACCCAAGGGCTTTTTGCCCTATACATGCATTTACCTAAAAACCCTATTCTAATATCAAATGATAATCAAGATTTCTAACCCTCCATAAAACCTTACAATCCACAAAAATGGGATGATATATTCAAAATGCTAAAAGATAAAAATTGTCAGACAAGAGGAAAGAATTCTCCATCCAGCAAGATTATGCTTCAGAAATGAGGGAGAAATAGTGTATTTCCCAGACAAACAAAAATTATGGGAGTCCACTAACACATGACCAGCCCTGAAAGAAATACTCAAAGAAGTCTTACAACTGGAATCTGAAAAATGGTAGTCAGTGTCACAGATTTACTAGAAAGAGCAAAAACCACCATTAAAACCAAAATACAAACAAGAAGGAGAAAGCAGCTAAAGCATGTCACCTCAAAAATACAACTAATATCAAAGATGAAAAACAAAAGAAGAGGAAAGGGAGAAATGATATTTAGAGCACTTAAACTAAAAGCAATATAATGTCAGGAGTAAAGCAATACCCATCAGTAATAACCCTAAATGTTAATGGATTAAACTCCCCACTCAAAACACACACTGACTAATTGGATTAAAAAGCTAGACACAACTATATGCTGTCTTCAAGAGACCCACCTCAATTATAAAGAAGCACATGACTAAAAGTGAAGGGATGGAAAGAGAATATACCATTTTGGAAACCGAAAATGGACAGGACTAGCTATTCTTACATCAGATTAAATAGAATTCAAACCAAAAACCATAAAAAGAGACAAAGAAGGCCATTATATAAAGGGATCTATCCATTTAAAAGACATAACTATCATAAATATGTATGTGCCCAACACTGAAGCACACAGATATGTAAAGCAAGCACACTTAGACCTAAAAAACAAGGTAAGGCCTTACACAATGATAGTGGGTGACCTGAACACACACTTCTCAGTATTGGATAGATCTTCCAGGCAACAAATCAACACAGAAACACATAACTTAATTACATGTTAGACCAATTTGACCTGGTAGACATCTATAGAACATTTCACCCAACAACTACAGAGTACACATTCTTCTCATCAGCACATGGGACATTCTCCAGGATACACCACATATTAGGTCACAAATCAAGTCTAAGCAAATTTTTAGAAAATGAAATCATTCCAAGTATCTTTTCAGACCACAATGGATTAAAACTGGATATCGATAAAAAGCAAATCTTTGAAAACTATATGAATGCATAGAATCTAAACTCCTCAATGGAAATTAAACAGGAAATTTAAAAAATTGAAACTAATAAAAACAAAGATATATCATACCAAATCCTGTGTGATACTGCAAAAGCAGTACAAAGAGGGAATTTTATTGCAGTAAACACTTACATCAAAAGAATAGAAAGAATTCAAATAAATGACCTAAAACTTCAACTCAAAGAGCTACAGAAACAAAAACAATCCAATCCTAAAAATAACAGGTGGAAATAAATAAATAAGATCAAGGTAGAAATAAATGAAATAGAGACCTAAAAAACAATACAAAAGACCAAAGAAACAAAAAGTTGTTTTATTGAGAAGATAAATAAAATTGAAAACCAATAGGTAGGTATCCAAAAAAAAAAAAAAAAAAAAAAGGGAGAAAAGACCCAAAAAGGAAAATCAGAAAAGGGAGATACTACAACCAACACCACAGAAATATGAAGAATAATCAGAGATTATGATAAAAAATTATAAGCCAATAAACATTAAGATCTGGAGGAAATAGATAAAGTTCAGGACATATACAAACTTCTAAGACTGAACCACAAAGAAATAGAAAACCTGAATAGACCAATAACAAGCAAAGAAATTGAAGCAGTAATCAGCAATCTTCCAATAATTAAAAGCCCAGTACTGGATGGTTTAACAGCTGAATTTTGTCAAACATTTAATGAGGAATTAATGCCAATTATCCTCAATCTTTTCCAAAAAATTTAAACAGAAGCCATTCTCCCAAACTCATTCTATGAGGCCAGCATCACCCTGATACCAAAATCAGACAAAAATACAGCAAAAAAAAAAAAGAAAGAAAGAAAGAGAAAGAAAGAAAGAAAGAAAGAAAGAAAGAAAGAAAGAAAAGAAAAGAAAAGAAAAGAAAATTACAGGCCAATATTGTTGATGACTGTAGATGTAAAAACTCTCAATAAAAATATTTGCAGTCAGAATACAGAATGTGGCGAAATTAGAATAATTTGGTCAGGCTTCCTCAGCTCAGGTCTGGCTGAGGGGTGGAGCAGCACATTTCTTGTATACAAGTTGTGTGGGTGCAGATAGTGCTCACCTGTGCCAATGTATCTTTTTAGTTTTGTAGCTATTGTGTTCAGCAGTTTGTGAAAAGAACTCACGCCTAAAAATAGAGTATGTTTACTCTGCTGGCAGCTGCTCAGTTTCAGTTTCTCTTTGGACTTTGCTGGTAGCAGTTGAGTTTCTGAAGTTCCCCTTTGTACTGCCTAGCTCCTAGATGTGTGTGTACTGAATAAAGACTATTCCTTCAACTAAAGCTCCAAGGACCATTTTGCTGGTTACCTAGCTCGTAGATCTGCATGTGAAGGGTTTGTGAATGGGCTAAAGGGGTCTGTGAGTACCAGAGACCCAGCTTAAGCTCTACAATTGGTGTCATCTGCAGGATTACACCACACAGGTACACATTAAAAAATTATACAGCATGATCAAGTGGGATTCATCCCAGGGATGCAGATGGTTCAACCTGTGCACATCAATAAATGTGATACACCACATCAACAAAATCGAGCACAAATACCACATTATTTTCTCAAAAGATGCAGAAAAATCATGTCTTAAAATACAGCAACACAATGATAAATACTCTCAGAAAACTAGGTATAGAAGAAAACTATTTCAACACAATAAAAGCCATTTATGACCGTATGTAAGATTTGGGATGAATCCCAATCTCACATAGAACGGGACGACTCACCTCGAAGAGACCACAAGACCACGAGCAGTGCAAACAGCAAGAGGTTTATTATTTCCAACGCGTTGGGATCTCACCAGCAAGCTGGGGTGAGACCCCGTTAGGCTTTTTGGCTGTCTTTTTATACATTTTCTGGGGCAACTTTTCTGGAGGCTCAGAGACGAAGCAGTAAGCAGTGCTTATTGGCTAACTTAAGTAACCTTAAAGCTTATTGGTTGGCACCCATCCGTTTCTAGGTGATTGCCCTTCTGACTTCTTTACTGGTAGACAATTGGCCATCTGCTGGTTTGACTTAGCTATGAAGAGACATAAAATCAGCTAAATACTTCTATACCTCATAGCTCTGTGGTTACAAGCCTGTGCCTGTGTTAGCAAGAAAACCACAGGCTGTCAGCTCTGAGCTTTTCCTGTGTAGAGGAGAAGTAGGCCAGCTCTCAGAGACCCCTCCTCAAGCAACCACACTTCTTGCCCCACTTACCCAGGTGTGATAAGACCCCTACCCAGAGGTCCCTTAGAAAACATGTTTATGTGGAAAGTTTTATGCTTTACTGCAACTTACATTTTTCAGCTCTTGCAAGCTAGCAGAACATCCTGTGTGTCTAGCTGGCCCGGGGGAGGGGGGGCAAGGTGTGTCTTGCTGTAACAGCTTCTAAGATGGCTTCACTGTTGCTAAGTTAGAGCAAGCCCGTTTACAAAAGCAGATAGCGCAGGTTAGAAGTTTTCATTTCCCCCTGTTCTACGTACAAATTTTAATCATAAAATTTCAGTTTTCGGGGCCGGCCCAGTGGCGCACTGCTACAGTGCGCCGCTTGGGAAGCGTGGCGGCGCTCCCGCCGAGGGTTTGGATCCCACATACAGACCGGCCGCTCACTAGCTGAGCGAGGTGCGGGAGCAGCACCGAGGGTTGCGATCCCATAGCCGGTCCCGGTCCAGTACGGGCGCAACACTGAGGGTTGCGATCCTTGGCCGGTCACGAAAAAAGACAAAAAAAAATTTCAGTTTCCTGTTGGCCTAGGGCCTGGTATTCCTGTCTTAGCATTATGATCTGAACAGTGTTTATACAATTTCTAACAAAGTTCAGCACACGGTTTAGAATACGTGGACTAAAAGTTAACAGTAACATTATAATTATTAGTGGCCCGAGCAAAGTGGATATTAGGGTGGTGAGCCATGGGGAAGCATTAAACCTGGATTTAAACCAACTCTGATTTTGATTGTATTCAGCTTTTCTTTTGGCTAAACTTTTTCGTACCTTTGTTATAGAGTTTTTTATAATGTCTGAGTGATCTAGATTCTATTTTTCTGATGTCAGCATCTATGGCTGCTTGCAACCCTTGGAAATTTTGATGCTGAATTACAAGAGCTGAGGCTCCTGTGGCTGCCCCAGCTGTTCCTAGTCCTAAGCCTAAGAGGACCGAGAGTGTGATGCTTAGGGGCTCCCTTTTGGTAGGGCAGCCTTTGGAGTCCCAGTTGTCCAGCAAACTCTCATAGGGGTAATAAATGATCCTAGGCATTAACTGGATTAAGACACAGTCGTCTCTGGTCAAATTTAGGACTTGGTGTAATTCTGGTAGAGCAGGCCCACCACCCTTTGGGGGGCACCAGATACAAGTTACTAGACCACTGGGTTACATCTAGGGTCTGGTTGCACAGATAGCTGTGGGAAGAGGGAACTGTTCCTACACAGGTTCCTATTCCTGAAACTGCTGACAAGGTGAGCTTACATACGTCTGGAAATAAGTCAGGCCACTAGTGTCCTGGAGTTATTTTTGGACTGACTTTAGACGATGTCCCCTACCCCATTAATAACATACTAAGTGAGGTTTTGGGGGACATGGGGGCTATAAGCTTTAAAACTCTGGAGGGAGACAACAAAGCAAAGCAGAAATACATGAATTTTTATCTTACAGTTTTCCGCGTGACCAGGTGATTTTTAACTGTAAGGGATTGTCCTTAGAAGTGTGGACTTTCCAGGTGGTGCCGTCGTCTGTGTTGTGGTCTCCGGGTTGCACTGGCTTTACGTGTGAGGTGTGGCTCTAGGTAGAAATCCTGTCCACCTTGACAGCTGTCAGGGTTGTCAGGAGCACTAGGTAAGGTCCTTTCCAGCGAGGCTCCAGCGAGTGGGGTTGGTGGCGCCTCATGTAGACAGAGTCTCCGACCTGGAACCGGTGAGAGATGTCCAGGCGTCCCAGACAGCCTTCTGCACTTCTTGCAGCCCTTTTAACCTAGCATATAAATCATGGTTACGGTGGCATGCAGACTGGAACCCAAAAGTTGTAGGGGCAAACGTGTCCCCCAGCAAGGTTAAGGGTGCTGGGGCACCATAGAACATTTCAAAGGGGGTTAGGTTGAGCTGGGAGGGGGTATTCCTGACCCTAAATAAGGCCAGAGGGAGGAGCATCACCCAGTTTGTGCCAGTCTCCATGGTTAATTTGGTCAGGGTCTCTTTTAGAGTTTTATTCATCCTTTTTACCTGCCCTGAACTCTGGGGCCTATATGCACAATGTAATTTTTAAGAGGTCCCCATGAATCTGGCCACTCTCTGACTTACCTGGGCGATGAAGGCAGGCCCATTGTCAGATCCGATTACCTTAGGCACTCCGAAACGTGGGAAGATCTCCTCCAGGATTTTCTTGACCACAACAGTGGCAGTCTCTTGTTTTGTTGGGAATGCTTTCACCCATCCTGAAAAGGTGTCTACAAAGACTAGGAGATACTTATAACCATATTTACCAGGCTTGATTTTAGTAAAATCTACTTCCCAGTATAGCCCTGGTCGGTCTCCCCTAGGTCTTTTGCCAGGTTCAGTGGCGCTCTTGCATACATTTACTTTTTGGCGAGGTTTACAATTTTTGACTATTTGCTTAACCTGTTGTCTAAGCCCTAGGATATGGTATTCAGTCTTTTTAACAGTCTGAATCATCTTATCTGTCCTCAGGTGGGTCCACTGATGCATCTGCTTAAGCATGGCCTGTTCTTGTTTCTGTGGCAAAATAAATTTGTGGCTGTACGCCAGTGGCCAGTGCTTGGGTCGGAACAATTACTGGGGTCTTTGGACATTTCTGTTATGTCCTCAGCTGAATACCAAAATAATGGTTGACATTTGGGTCCTTCTGGCTCAGGGACACTCACCAGTAGTATAGCCGAGGACCTGCGGCGGCTGCTCTTGCCTCAGAGTCGGCCAGGTTGTTTCCCTTTGCAATTGGGGAATTTCCTTTTTGGTGCCCTGGGCAGTGTATGATACTCACTTTTAGTGGTCCGAGGAGGGCCTCCAACAGGGCTATAATTTCTGCCTTGTTTTTAATTTTTTTTTTTGAAGTCAAAAGACCTCGCTGTTTATATATTGCACCGTGCACATGGGCAGTGGCAAAGGCATACCTGCTGTCCGTGTAGATGTTGATCTTTTTATGTTTTCTTAGTTCCAGGGCTTTTGTGAGAGCGATGAGTTCCGCTTTCTGGGCAGATGTCCCGGCAGGCAAAGCCTGAGCCCATACCAGTTTCTGGCCATCTACCACTGCTGCCCCGGCTTTCTGCTTTTCATTTTCCAGGAAGCTGCTGCTATCTGTGAACCAAGTGGCCTCAGCGTCTGGTAGAGGCTGATCTGACAAGTCTTTTCTCCACCCGTGGGCTTCTGCAAGCATTTGTTGGCAATCATGGATGGGCAAGTTGAGGTCTGGGTCCGGCATCAGCGAGGCTAAATTTAGGCTTGTTGGTGGAGCAAAGGTTATTTGATCTGGGTTTAATAACAAAGTCTGATAATGAGTCATGCGCGCGTTGGAGAGCCAGCGGTCAGGAGGCTGGCAGACAACATTTTCTAAGGCATGAGGTGCTGAGATTACCAAGTTTTGTCCCATAGTCAATTTATCAGCATCTTTTACTAGAATTGCAACTGCAGCCATGATCCTCAGGCAAGCTGGCCACCCTGAGGCAACTGGGTCTAGCTTTTTGGATAGATAGGCCACTGGTCTGTTCCAAGGTCCCTGTCTTTGGGATAGCACCCCCTTTGCAATCCCCCTGTTTTCTGCCACATACAGGTGGAAGGGTTTGGTTACGTCAGGAAGTCCCAAGGCTGGTGCAGACATTAAGGCTGTTTTGATATTATTAAACGCCTGCTGTTCTTTCTCTTCTTATCTGAAGGGCTGGCAGGTTTTAGTGAGGGGATATAAGGGGGCTGCCATTTCAGCAAAACCGGGTATCCACAGGCGACAAAACCCAGCAGTGCCCAGAAATTCTCTGACTTGCCTCTGGTTAGAGGGTGGCGGTAGGTGAAACACTGTTTCTTTCCTGGCCTCTGACAACCACCTTTTCCCATCTTTGAGAAGGTACCCCAGGTAACTAACCTGTTGTTTACAGATTTGGGCCTTCTTGGCGGAGGCTCGGTAGCCCAGTTCTCCCAGCTCTGTTAGGAGACACTTCGTTCCTTCCAGGCATATATTCTTGTCAGCTGCTGCTAGGAGGAGATCATCAACATACTGTAACAGAGTTACCTGAGGGTTGGAGGCCCAGAACATGACCAAGTCCTGGTGGAGGGCCTCATCAAATACAGTAGGAGAATTTTTAAATCCTTGAGGCAAATGGGTCCAGGTGAGTTGTCCCATCAGACTAGCCTCTGCGTCTCTCCACTCAAAGGCGAAGCAATCTTGACTCTTTGGAGCCAACGGCAAGCAGAAGAATGTATCTTTGAGATCTAGTGCTGTGTACCAGGCCCTGTCTGGAGGTAAAGAACTTAAGAGATTGTAAGGATTAGGAACGGTGGCATGGAGATCGGCCACACGCTTATTTACTTCTCGGAGATCTTGGACTGGCCAGTAGTCGTTTGTACCGGGCTTGCGGACCGGCAGCAAGGGAGTGTTCCAAGCAGATTGGCACTTCCGTAAGACCCCCAGCTGGAGCAAGTGCATGATGTGGGGCTTGATGCCTTCTCGTGCCTCCCGGGACATTGGGTACTGCCGGACTGCTATGGGACTGGCTTGAGCTTTTAGCTCTATGTAGACAGGGGGTCTGTTTTTAGCCTTTCCAATTCCCGCTGTCTCAGCCCATGCCTGTGGATATTGGCTTAGCCACCAGTTTGTTTGCCCGGTCTCTTGTTTTTGCTGTTCAAACAGCTGGTACTCATCCTCTAGTCTTAGAGTCAGTACTTGGAGAGGTTTTCTCTGTTGATTTAACACTTGAGATCCCTCAGGACTAAAATGAATTTGGGCACCCATCTTGGTCAGGAGATCTCTTCCTAACAGTGGATAAGGGCACTCCGGAATGACAATGAACGAGTGGGATACCCGGCCCACGCCAAGATCTACCGTTCTTCGGGTGGTCCATGAATATTGTTTATTTTCAGTGGCCCCTTGTACCCATGATTTTTTGGGGAGGAGGGGCCCTCCTGTTTGTCAAAGTGCTGAGTGTTCAGCTCCTGTGTCCAGCATGAACTGGGTAGGTTTCCCCTCTACCATTAATGTTATCCTGGTTTTGGTGAGGGGGTCCAAACCCCGTCCCCCCTAGTCACTGTCTTTTTGCAGGGCTAGGACCTTGGGGGCCTGGGGCTTTTTGTTCCCCCTCTTGGGGCAATTCTGGACCCAGTGTCTTTTCTCCTTGTAATAGGCACAGTGGTCTTTTGCTAGGGACTCCTTTTTGTCGCCAGGTGCTGTCTCAATAGGTTCTTTAGTCTTTTTAGCTACAGTGGCCAGAATTTTGTGAAAACTTTTTTTTTCTGACTCTCTGTTGTAATAAACCTTTTCAGCTCTTTGTACTAACTCTCTCAGGGTTTTATCTTGTAACACTTCTAGCTTCTGTAATTTTTTTTTAATGTCCTTACTGGACTGATTAATGAAGGCAACTGTTACTGCAGCCTTATGTTCTTCACTGCTAGGATCATAGGGAGTAAACCAACAGAATTCCTCCATGAGTCTCTCTAGAAATGCTGATGGAGACTCATTGGGCCCCTGGGATACTTTCTTTACCTTAGCCAAATTGGTGGGGCGTTTAGCTGCCCCACGGAGACCTGCCATTAGAGCCTGGCGATAAACTTTCAGGTGCTCCCTAACTTTTGCCAAGTTGAAATCCCAGTTAGGCCGAGCCAGAGGGAACCCAGCATCGATGACATCAGGGAGGAGGGTGGGCCTCCCGTCAGGCCCTGGAACATGTTTCTGGCTTTCCAGGAGGATCTGTTGCTTTTTTTTTCAGTGGTAAACAGGACCTGGAGGAGCTGCTGACAATCATCCCAAGTGGGCTGATGGGTGAAAAGGAGGGATTCTACAATGTTAGTGAGTCCCTAGGAGTTTTCAGAAAAGGGAGGATTCTGAGATCTCCAATTGTAAAGATCAGAGGAGGAGAAAGGCCAATACTGCAGGGGCTGATTGCCTTCCTCATCAGGGAGGCCATACACCCTAAGAGGGAACGTGGGGACAGCATCTGGAGAGCCTGCCCACCGACTGAGAGTTCCTTGTGCTGGTCCGGAGCTTTGCACCTCAGCTGGCGGGCTGACAGCTGCACGGCCTGTGGACGAAGGGTTGGGGGGTAAGGGGGAGGGGAATCCAAGAGGAGATGATCTGAATTTGCATCCTGCAATACAGGAGGTTTTTCTTTGTCTTCTTTGAGGGCAAACACTGCCGTTGGACCTGTTAAAGGGAGGAAGGGTTGAACCCACGAAGGTGGGTCTGTGACCAAGTCTTCTTACACAACAATGTACGGGACCTGGTCAGGATGACTTTTGGAGGAGGAACCAAAAATCCTGCTTTTAACTGCCACAATCAGCGGCAGGGAAAAAGAACCTTCAGTGGGCCACCCAAGTTGGAAAGTTGGCCACTCTGATGAACAAAGTGTTACCCATTTGCTTTTGTTGACTAGCACAGAGAGTTTATGAGCTCTAGTTTTTACATCAGTCCAATGTCTCAGAGTCAGATCCAAGGGAGTTGAAACTGTCTGTCCCATGTCGCCCCAATAAGTTCTCAGTCCTATCACACACGCAACCAGACAAACAAAAACAAAAGCGCTGACATGCTCTTGCCATGGGCGCAACAGCCGGATTATCAGAAAACTCGGGAGGGGTCTCTGCCTTAGAGATCTCCTGTGAAGGTGAACTCGTTCACCTTCCTCAAAAGAATCGGGAGCGTCCTCCACAATTCTGGTGGCTGCGGTGTCTAGGCACGTCTGCCCCACTGCAAAACCACGCCCTGGGACTTGAACCCAAGAAAACCAGACTGTTGGCTCTACTTCTGAGCCTCAGTGTAACTGACCACACCAGATGGCTCCACTTGGAGTCCAGATCCTGGGACTCGAACCCAAGAAAACAGACTGATGGCTCTGCCTCTGAGCCTCAGCGACCAGATGGCTCCACTTGGAGCACAAACCATGGGACTCGAACCCACAAAAACAGATTGGCAGCTCTGCTGAGCCTCAGTGAAACTGAAACTAAATCACAGACAACAGAGATGCAAATAGGGACACAACAATGAAACAAACAACCGCGGTACCTGCTGCCCGGGCGTTCCTCTGCTTTTCAGTCTTTGGTGCCTGGGAGAGCGAGTGGAAATCCTGGACGAGCCCCCAAATTATGTAAGATTTGGGATGAATCCCAATCTCACAAAACCAATTGTCAATAACCTAAATAGGGAAAAGTTGAAAGCTTTTCCTTTAAGAACAAGTACAACACAAGGATGCCCACTCTCACCACTCCTATTTAACCTTTTATTGGAAGTACTAGCCCGAGAAATCAGGCAAGAGAAAGAAATAAAGGGCACCCAAATTGGAGAGGATGAAGTCAAACTACCCCTGTTTGCAGATGACATGAACTTATACATAGAAAAACCTATATAACCTATAATCTGTAGATGGGGGGAGGTGGAAGTAGGGTTGGGGAGAGGGATATTCGGTAAAAGACATAAAGAAAAACCATGATTTGTCATAATAATATGCTTATAATAAATAATAAAAATAAATAGATAAGTGAAGCCTAAAAATAATTCACAGTTTAGCTGAGATCCATTTTTATTAATGTTAGGTGTTGTACATTATATTATTTTTCAGCGAATATTTGTTCACTCTCCTGCCCCTTCCTCCAAGGAAGGAATATACTTCCCTGCTCATTGACTTTAGGAACGACCAAATAACTTATTTTGAACAGTAAAAACTGGGCAGAAGTGACAGTGTATGACTTCCAAGTCAAGAAATAATGAGGCCTCACAAGTTTCTGCTAACTCATCTAGGAACTGACCAATAAAACTATGAGAAAATATTTCCCAGGTAGGCACAGTCCCTTCATCTTTGGCTCAGAATGAGACCCCTGGAGAAAACTTGAACTCACCTTGGAGCCTGAAGTGGGGTCTTCCAGATGAACCTAAAGCTTGAAATAGAACTTTATACACTAATATTTAGATATAAGAATGAAAAATAGTGTGTTGTTTTAAGTCACTGAGTTTTAGGGCATTTTGTTATGGAACATTATTACAAAAATTGCTGACTGAGACAACAGAAAAAAATTAATTGTTCCTTACAATGCAGAATGATTTAATGAAATTCTAGTACAGATTGAGTAAATAAAAATTATTGTAAACTTTGAAGAAGATTTTTTAAAGAGCACATTGCTCAATGTATGTGAATATTTTCACTCAATTGCTAGATGCAATTACAGCATCAACAAAGCCTCTTAGAATCTCCTATATTCTGTCAACTGTGTAAAACAGAAAGACACATATTTACTGGTCTAAAACGCCCTAATTTTTCATAAGATTGCACTGAAACTGAATTTGAAGCTTGTCCTTGAGTTCTTTTTAGCTTTTTATTGTTCCCTTTTGTTCACACTGAATCTAAGTTTATCTGATTCATTGTAGGAACAAATCCAAATGCATATAATATTAACACTTTGTCAATTACATCTCTCTCTGACTAATCTCAAACCAGAAATCTAATATTAAAGTGCTGATAAGGTGAAACAACCTTTTATTGATTTGAAAACAAATACAAATAAGATTATTTTAGGTTCTGATATTGTTTGATAATAATCGCTCTTTCTTTAAAGAACTAATCGAATTCAATTCCAAAATAAGTATAATTACATCTACAGCATTATTAATTTATTAGTCTTGGTTAATGATGACTTCCTTCAGATAAAATTCTGACCATTTACTTTCATAATCTGTATGATGCATAGAGATTACCTGCAGAACACACATAGAAAACTATAGAATTTGAGTTAAGTAACTCTGTAGAGTGTCTTTTATTTATATCTTTTTTAAAAATTGTATTTTAAATAGAGTAAATCCTATAGCACTAGGCATTTCTGGATTCTATGCTGAGCGTTTTTCAAAATTCTATAGGCAATTTGTGCTTAAAGAGAATGGAATTAAATGGCATGTATTTTGCTGTCTTAAAAGTTTATAAAATCTGAAAACATTTTGAAGGTCCATCGAATTGTGTGAGGTGTAGAAAAAAGGGTAGTAAGAAAAGCTCTGAGGCAATGATTCTATTAGTCTAAACTTTCTGGCCAAAAATAATTAGTTCCTAATTTGAAATCATTTTTGTGTATATTGTTAATAAACAGCTCCAATATAACAACACATCTGTGTCAAGATGGAAACTTTCACTAAAATGTTACAATTATTACAATATTAGTACACTGGAGATATTTTATGATATGTCCACCCAAAGGAATGGACTAAAAACAGAGAAGAAAATAGAAAAAAAGAGAAAAATCTGTAAAGCAGGCAGATGGGTACCAATTGATTTGTCAGAATGGTTAGATCTAAGTACTCTTTCCCTACTGGGCTTAATGGCCGAGTATTACGTTTAGGGCAGGTTCTTGGAGGAGTCCTTTGGAGAATTGACCAGATCAAAAGAAAGACCTAAAGATATTCCCACCATGATTTCCCTAAGAACTACTCATTTAAATCAACCTAAGATAAAGCTCAAATTTGTTAAGCTCCTCCCACATACGCAGAGTTTTATTCTCCCAATTATAATTACAGGCAGATGCTCAAGTATTATGAGAAAGATTTTGATATAGAGTGTGATAAATAAGGAGAAAAAAGGGAAAGAGGAAGAAGACCAAAAATAACCACAAAAACACCAATGAAGAAAAAACAGAATAAACTATAACTTGGAAGAATAGACACTAAATAATAAGAAAATTTCAATATCTACAGGAGAGATAAAAGAAAATATTGCATCTATGACATGAAACAAGAATGTTACTTTTAAAAAAAGAAATGTTCAGAAAACTATAAGAGTTTTCAAGTTACTGTTTCTCAGCTCCAAATCCATTCTTTTATAATCTGCTCTGTGACACTAGAACAGGGACTGTATAAACCTCATTTCTGTTTTTCCAGCTCCTCCCTGTTAGTCTATGTCACTAGGGAGGATGATATGGAACTGTGTGGTTGGAGCAAGGACAAAAGATTGACATTCGCATTTGCTGCCCAACAATACTGCTTCACCCCAGCAGCAGCACTTTCTCCTAATAGTAGCAGCTAAATACAGTTTGCAGTTTTTTTCCAGCACCGGCAAAACTTGCTTCACCATGCCCTCCCCCATAAGAGACATCAGTAGTAGTCCACTAGTGTCCCCTCCACAAAGGTTTAGGTTACAGAATTACAAGGCCCCTCCTCTGAACTCAGAAACACCTGCACAAATTGAGTAATGTCTCCTCCTGAGAGATCAGAGTAGACCCCTTCTACATATTTCTAGGTTTTACTTCAACCTATTACCTTTGTTCCTTTAGCCTTAGGGGTGGTAGTCACTTCATGCAGCTACTAACTAACTTTGTGAGTTTTATTTTTACCCTTTTAGTTACCTAGTCAAATTTATAGCTAGTTAACATTTTTCCTATTAAATTCTCTCTATTCAAAAAATGGGTGTAGTTTATTCTCCTCAAAGGATCCTGCCTGACACTACATAACAGAAAACATGAAAATCTTAGTGGATGGGATAGAAGATAAAATTGGGCAAACCTCCAAGAGTAGAGCAAAAAAAAAAAAAAAAAAAAAAAAAAAATTAAAAAACACCACACAATAAAAATAAAAGTAGAAAATTGGTGGACTCTTCTAGGAAGCCTAATAGGTGAATAATAAGCATCCTAGAAGAAGAAAACAGAAAATGCTTGAGAGGAAATAAGCAAATATTTCTAGAAAATGCCTCATAATTGAAGTACATTAATTTCCAGATTGAAATGACTTACTGAGTCCACAGAGCAATAGAAGAAAATAGAGTCATTCTAAATAACACTATTATAAAATTTCAGAACACTGGAAACAAAAAGAATTTCCTATAAGTTTCCCAAAAGGAAAAATGAGTGTCACATTCAAATGATCTGTAATCAGAATCGTTTTGGACAAATCAACAGCAAAAAGAAAAAAAAAAAGGAACTAAAAGATACATCAGAGCAATCTGTTAAAACTGTGATATAACCATCAATCAAGCATATGTAAAGAAAATAAAAATATTTTTCAGACAATCAGAAGTCTCAAAAATATTCTTCCCATGTACCTTTTAAAGTAATTTACTTTAGGACGCCTTCCAGCAGCACAAACCAGTAAGTGAGAAGAGGAAAAAATGGCAACAAGAAAACAGAAGCCCTGCCATAGGAAAGACTCAAAGAAAATTTCCAGGATGGTGATTAAGGGAGGTTACAGGTCACAAGTTTGCAGTAAGTATGAAGAGAGCCAATCCAGATTAAAGCATGATGGTGTTTACTCATATCAATTTATCTAAAATTTGTGTGATAACAATAATGGCCATTCAAGCGAAGAAAAACATAGGAATAGCATCATGGAAGAGCTTTCACTTACCAGAAGATGAAGCCAATCAATGTAATAATTGTAAGCATCCTTCATGTGGTATGTGTGGGTGTGTGAACATGCACGTACATGTGTCTGTTTTCTCTGTATTTATCTCTACCGGTTTTAGGGGAGATGGGAAGATTTAAAATTAAGTGATCA